GATTTTAGAACTATGTACCAGCTGATACCAGCCAAATTAATATTTTGCAAGATATCTCGGTGACTTTAAATGCTTTGACAAAATTAGATGTGTCTGTGGTCTTGGTAAGTTTCCTTATCCTTACGAGTCCATGACTGCATTTATTGTACTAAATCAAACTACCATCCCGCTTAAGAGATCTTTTGACAGCAAGCTCTGAGGAACAAATGTTATCATGGATGACTACGAACGAGTAAAGTTCGTGTGGGAGTGCATCGAGATGAAATCTATCAAGGACAAATTGATCTGGTACAACAACCTCGACGTAGTTTCATTCAATCTTAACGCAGTTCCATTCATCAAGGCTATCAGGGCTTGATGAAAATTTCCGAACGTTTATATATTTGCGGATAGGCGCCGATACCTGGTATTTCGGAGAAGGTCTTTTATCAGACTTGCTTCAATAAACTCCAATATCCGAATGAGAAGCCGGCTAATATATTTTAAATTCCGGTTAGGCCATGTGAGGGCAAAAAAATCAGGATGCCAAGGCAAAGCAAAACATTGGTATGACACTTGAGCACGTTAATACAATGCTGCTAAAAAATACTTTTTACGTGGTGTATGCTACCGCCAGCTGACTGCTGACACCTGTTTTCGCTGACCATATCAACAACACGATTGGCTACATTGACGGCAACATCTTGATCAGCTGTGTGAGATGCAACTCCATGCGTAAAGGTATGTCCCTCGGGAAACCTTGATTCAAGAATTTGCTTGAGTTCAACTTATGATAGTCATGTATATTCTTTTGGTCGGAAGGAAAAGAATATTGACGCTAAATGAAAGCTAACATCCCCGTAGGCCTATCTTTCATCTTTAATCGCTATGCTAAGCGTGCTGAAACCAATATTCGCGATGGTAAGGTATAATGAAAAATTCCGGATTCGATGCTAACATCTTGTATCTTTGGGCTCTTGTGATTGAGACGCCATACGGTCGATTCACTACCGTTGAATCTTAACCGGAATTTAAAACACATTAGCCGGCTTCTCACCAGGATATTTGAGTTTATTCAAGCAAGTCTGATAAAAGACCTTCTCCGAAATACCAGGTATCGGCGTCTATCCGCATATATATATATATATATATATATATGCGCTTGGAAATTTTCATTAAGCCCTGACAGCCTCGATGAATGGAACTGCGTTG